ATTATAATATTTTTGTCTTTTTAAGCGTTTTAAACTGTTTTTTCAGTGAAAAATCACAAAATTAGACCAAAAACGGTTTTTGAACTGAAAACTCGGCTTTTGACGGCTCAAAAAAATCACTAAATTGTTATAATAAAAATTATATTTTTACATAACTCTTCCGTTTATGTAAAAAAATAATTGTTTTTTTTTTTATTTATTTGCTTAAGTTGGCAACACTGAATACTGTGGATATTAAAATCGTGCCAAGTGACGGGTATGTCCACGGCCGTCCGTCGCAAATGAATGACAATTGATTATAAAATTGTGACGTTTGAATTTGATAGTCACTATTGCCAACTTAATAAATTTTGAGCGTTTTATTAACACGTTTTTCAGCCAAAAATATTGTTATTTTTGAAATTAAAAATTAAATTTTTTGACAAAATTTCACTTAAACTGTCCGAAAAATTACCAAATTGGAATTATTTTAAACTGTTTTGTTTGAGTTTTTGAACTAAAAACCCATTTATCTTGCAAAATTCAATCAAAACACGCCTAAAAATCTCAAAAAATAAATCGAAAATGATGTTATTTTCTTTGTTCAAGTCGATTTAACGGGTTTTTGAGTAAAAGTGAGTTTATAATAAGTCGAAAACACAAAATTTGGTCAAAAATGGAGTTATTTTTTCCATTTTCAAAATTGTAAGCAAGTTTTGAACTGAAATTTCAAGTGTTTGCGAGATTTCGATAAAACAAACCAAAAAAAATCACAAAATGGCCTTTTTCAAATCAATAAGCAAGCTTAATAACTAAAATCTCAAACTTGTTTCCGAGATTTCACAAATCACCAATGTTTTTAATATTGTTGCTTTTTTTGAGCGTTTTCAAATGTTTTTTTCGGTGAAAAATCACAAATCAGACCAAAAACGGTTTTTGAACTGAAAACTCGGCTTTTGGCGGCTCAAAAAAATTACGAAATTGTTATAATAAAAATGATTTTTTTACATAACTCTTCCGTTTATGTAAAAAAAATAATTGAAAAATTGTTTTTTTTTATTTATTTGCTTAAGTTGGCAACACTGAATACTGTGGATATTAAAATCGTGCCAAATAACGGGTATATCCACGGCCGCCCGTCGCAAATTAATGGCAATCGACTATAAAATTGTGACGTTTGAATTTGATACTCACTGTTGCCAACTTACTAAAGTTTGAGCGTTTTAACAAGCAAAAATCCAAAAATTAATTTAAAAATTGCATTTTCAAAATTGTAAGCAAGTTTTGAACTGAAATTTCAAGTGTTTTGCGAAATTTCGATAAAACAAATCAAAAAAATCACCAAATTTTCGAACGTTTTAACATGTTTTTCAGCCAAAAATCACAAAATTGGCCGAAAAATGATGTTATTTTTGCCCATTTCTAGCGATTTAGCACGCTTTTCAGCAATTATTTCGCAAAATTTTGTTATAAACAATCCAAAAATTGAATGAATGCTAATGATTGCTTTAAAAGATATTAAAAGACAATATTATCCAATATTTTAAAACATTAATAGAAGGAAATTGTTGATTGGTATTTATTTTTTTGTTATATAATTTTATTTTTGTTGACTAAAATGTCGTTTTCATATGTTTGTTTGTTTTTTTGTAAATTTTACTGCATATTTGTTACACAATTTCAATTTTTGTTCTTACTTATATTCACAGAATTCTATTTCTTATATTTTAATGACAAACTCGTTTAAATTTCTGACTTGAAATTTCACAAGCAAACTTAAAAAACTCACCTTTCTGTGACCGGTGCCCCATCTGGTTTCCTCGCAATGACATATTTACACGCCAAACCGGCATCTTTGACCATTTGATCGCCCAAAAACTCCGCCAAACGCTTAGCGGTGCTAATCGAGGAGCTTTTCTGCTCCCCATACTCTTCGAGTTTCTTCGACATTGATCGGTTTTCCGAAATCAAATCGAACAATTCCGAATCGGGCATATTGCGACCATGCGAAAACAGAACATCCAACCAATAATCGGCGATTTGGGCCACAGCCCCGTAACAGGACTCCAAAGTGTCACCTTTGAGGAACGCCTCAAACACCGACGATTGAAAATTTTTGATCAGTTGGAGTTCCCCACGACGTTTAACCTCAAAACTAATTAAAAAAAATATTTGTTTTTTTGTGGTTTTTGTGGTGGTACCCTTTCAATTCGGCCAAAGTACCATCGAAATTGAACACGGCGTAGCGTTTCTTCAGTTTTTTCCCTTCCTCCTTTGAGGCTGGTAGTACCATGGCCTTGTAGGGGCCATCAACTTCGAAGAAAATTGAATTTTCGGAGCGTTCCTCGAAGATGAGTTTTTCTGGATCGATTAGTTCGTGGTATTGGTCGTTGGTGAAGTGTTCCTTGACCATGGCATTTAGTACGGCGTTAGGGTACGAGACTATAATTTTATTTTTTTTCGTGTGGTTGGTATGAATGGTGAAATTTTCGGGGAATGAAGCCGGGAGAATGCACCAAATACCGTCAGTGTCTAGTTCTAAAGGTCTGCCAACCTTTTCGATTATCTCACGGGCGCGCATTATTATGTTGGCACCCGTGTAACACACGATTCCTGCCATTTCCATACTGTGCCAACGTGCCCTAAAAAATTATCACCAATGTTCAGTGTTGCGTAAAAATGTCAGCAGATCTAGTGATTTTTATGCTAAAATTCTAGTATCTACTAGTAATTTTTTGTAAATAAAAGTAACTATTGTAATAACAAAAACTTAACCCACTTATTTTTGTATCTTTTTCGGGTTTTTAAACAAAAATTTGATTATTTTAATAAATTTTCTCAAAAAAATCGAAAAGCCGCCAAAGTGGTTTAAGATGGTTAA